TGTGTGTGTGTGTGTGTGTGTGTGTGTGTCTGTGTGTGTGTGTTTGCGTGTATGCGCGCACATGTGTGATTGTGTGCCTGCGTGCATGCATGCATGCGTGTGCCTACATGCATGCGTGCGTGTGCGTGCATGTGTCAGTGGCGTAGACAGGTCCTCAGTTGTGGGGGGATGATTTCGCTGTTACTTCCATCGCAATGTATATGAAGAGTGCATGTGCGCGAGTAGCTCACACCCCGAGCGCCTTGGTGCAAAGCCCTTAATGGGTGGGGTCCAGGGGGCGGAGCCCCCGGAAGCTCTAGGATAGCAATTTAGAACCTTCAAGATTGCCGTTTTTGAGGGAATTGAAAAAAATTGATATTGTAATTGTAATTATTTTTTCTTTGGATCCCAGAGGTTTAATAACACGCACCCCCCTCCACACACACAACCAGTGGCGGATCCAGAAGAAAAATTGTAGGGGGGGGCGAATCATGCGAGCTCACGGGGGGAGGGGTGTTGGAGGGGGTGTCCCCCTCCCACCCCCTCCCACTGTGTGGAATTGTTAAAAAGTTGCAATCTAAAAGCAATCAAGTTTGGACATTTTTATCATAGAATATCAGGATTTTTCCTCCTTCAGGGCGTGCCCCCCTCCTGTTTAGGGGTGGGCCGGGGATTTTGTTGAAAGTAACATGCACCTCATCGATGCAATTTCCTGAGGCACTATGAGGCAGCACTATTAAACAATCTTCATCACAATAACATCACTGTTGAGTTGACTATTTTTATCTTTGGGGACTACCAAATCTGTGCTATGTACATGTCCTTACTGGAGTTACCAGTGCAGACTTACCTAGGCTAAAATACTCTACAGGCGCCGCGGAACGATTTTAGAAGTGGGGGTGCTCAATTTGTTACGCTCGACAGTGGCCAATGCAGGTTTTCGAGGAGGGTGGTAAGAAACAGGCGGGGGTATGCGGGTCTTCCCCCAGAAAATTTTGAATCCCCCATTTTCCTCTTGAAAGTAAGGGGGGATGATTGTACACGCCATCTCCCCACGTCAATAAGTGGGGAGATGCATCCCCCTCATCCCCCCCCCCACTATCTACACCCCTGCTCATGTGTCCATGTGTGCCTGCGTGCATGTGTCCCTGTGTGCCTGCGTGCATGCATACGTGCATGTGTGCCTGTGTGCCTGCGTGCATGCATGCGTGCGTGTGCATGCATGTGTGCCTGTGTGCCTGCGTGCATGCGTGCGTGCGTGTGCATGCATGTGTGCCTGTGTGCATGCATGCATGCGTGTGTGTGCATGTGTGCCTGTGTGCCTGCGTGTGTGTGCGTGCATGTGTGCCTGTGTGCCTGCGTGCATGCATGCGTGCGTGCGCACGCGCAAATTTGTGAGCATATCATCAGCATGATCAAGAGCAGCAGCATCAGCAGCAACATAGGCAACAGCAGCCGCAGCATCAGCAGCAACATAGGCAACAGCAGCCGCAGCATCAGCAGCATCAGCAGCAATATAAGCGTCATCCACAGAATCAGCAGCAGCAGCAGAAACATAGGCATTAGCAGCAGCAGCAGCAGCAGCAACATGGGCATCAGCAGCAGCAGCAGCAGCATCAGCAGCAACAAAGGCAACAGCAGCCGCAGAAGTAGCAACATAGGCATCAGCAGCAATATAAGCATCATCCGCAGCAGCAGCAGCAGCAGCAGCAGCAGCAGCAGCAGCAGCAGCAGCAGTAGCAACATCAGCAATATAAGCATCAGCCACGGCATATTTCTTTCACTTAAACACTTCTTCACAAAAATGTCAGATCTTTATTATCAGCATCTTGCTTTCCTTGTACTTAAACACTTCTTCATATGTTTTCCGTGAATCGTAGCCTAAGTGGTAAGAGAGTATTACAATGCGCATGGGTGATAGTTGCTATGTTGGAGGAGCGAATGCCAGATGGATTGAGAGAGGAAGTAGTCTCAGGTATAGGAAATACTTTCACACAAATCTTGTTTATGCGTGAATCGTATATATTACCTATGGATAAATTTTACTCATTACGACGAGGTAGTTAAAAACACATGCGCTTTATAGGCAAGATTGGAGTAGTAACTGCGAGTAGCGAATAAGGCAGAAGAAATTTCTTGGCTAGTACAAATTTTTTCTGCTGGAATGCAGCGAAGGACTAGGACGCATAAAAAAATAGCGGAAGTGCACTGAGACAGTAAGTGATCAACTCATTTGGTGAAAGGAAGAGTTTGCCATGTCGCAAGGAGGAGGCCACGATTAGTATAGCTCAATACGCGAGAAAAGCAATTCTTCACACAATATGTTTTCTGTGAAATCGTACCTCACTGCTACCATATATCACTTCATTGGTATTTGCCATGTCGTTCCATGCCAGATTATCATCTCCGTAGGAAACACTTCTTTCGCCCAAATGTTCTTCTGTGAAAAACAGTGTATACCTAATGTAAATTTACTCATGCGTCATTATGCCAGTGTCGCAGGGCAACCGCAAACGATTATATCTCAGTAGGAAACCTGTGCCTCTTACGAGGCAGGCACCGCCACGACTCTCTGACAAGCTGTACAAACCCAAAAAACAAGCCAAAGACAAGGATCTAGTACTCAAAATAACCAAACTCAAAGACACAGAAGGTGAGTGGATTTTATCACGTTTATGGATTACACAACTTACATTTGAAGAGTAAAGATAGACGAGATATTTTAATAACATAGAGTACTAGATTATATATCATGGTTTTCATTATTCATAGTGTTGTAAGTGTATTTTTAGTGTAATTTATTTGTCACACGTAATACAAAATGCCAGCAAAATAATCAAATAGTCCTCATATATTATGTTGATAACTGGATCAAACGGAATACAAGCTTTGCCAGTCACTGAAAATCACTCACAACATCAAGAGTATATTAAAGCTAGTCTTGATACGCTGCTCTATATCTAACACCAACATTTGTCAAGTCCAAATTTTCCTCTCAATAATGTATTGGTCCACGATTTCCAAGAGTACATTAAGGCTAGTCTTCATATACCTGTCAAAATATACACACGTATATCTAGTCCTCGTTTTCTCCTGAACGATACTTTCGTACACCATTTTCAAGAGAATATTATTCAACGTTTATATACCTATACTCAGTGGTAGACAATGACAACTTGATAGATTTGTCATTATCTACCCCTGCTATACCGACACCTAACGATACGTTGGTCCATACATTGCAATTAACCTTAATCATTTCTCATCATTGCAATGAACTTAATCGATCGATTAACTTCGTCTGTTCTATCTCTCGGCTAACGCAGAGAAATAAAATCATTTTTCGTCATCGCAATTGACTTAATCAATCGAATAATTTTATCCGTTCTGTCTCCCGTCTCGCAGAGGAGCCTACGGGTCGGAGCAGCATGGACACGGGGCTTCCGACGTGGGACGCCGACAGCCACACGACGGAGACTCCGCACGTAGCCTTCCAGCTCGGCGACGACCCGCTGCCGGAGGCGTCGGTGCCCGACACGCCACCTGGCGGCGAGTCGACGCGCTCGTCGTCGATGCAGAAGCTGCGCAAGGTTTCGCTGAAGAAGTTCAAGATGTGGAAGTGACGACGACGTCGACAACGGCGCATGCTTCCCTCCCCTGGGGCCGGCGACGCTTCGCGCGACGTGGTCTCGTTTGTTTCGCATTTCCGCGCACTCGTCTCGCGGAGCGTTCGCGACGTACGTACGTGCGTCGGCCGTGTCACCGCTCGTGCTTTCATTCTTCACTGAAGAAGTTTGAGATGCGAAAGTGACGATGAGGATGGGGTCGTGGACCGCGGCGGCGCCGACGCCGCATGCTCCCCAACGATGACAACGTGAAGTTGCGGCTCCTCCCTCCCCCCCCCCCCCCCCCAACGTGAAGTTGCGGCTCCTCCCTCCCCTCCCTCCCCTGGCGATGCTTCGCGACAAGGTCCCCTGTTTTTATGTTTCCGCACTTTCGTTTGCGAGTGGTGCAGGAGGGCAGGTGGCGCCACCGTGTCCCTCCTCGGCGACCTGGAATCGGAAGCGGTGGCGATCGTCGTCACAGTCGTCGTCGGATGGCGGAACACGATCGTCCGCGGATGGAACGCACGTGTTAATGGAACGTCGGACGGAAATAAACCGAAGCGACGAGAGAGAGAACTGAGATTATTTGGGGGTGTGCGAGGGGACCGTAGCAGGGCGTGCCCTGCCCTCACTTCCTGCTGTTTCAGTTGCGTGCGTGTCGTCTACCCTTGGGTCCTGTTAATGTGAGCGACCGTTCAAAACGCCTTTTCGAGAGAAAGGCAGCAGATCACGACAGCGAGAGGGGAGCCAGGAAAGACCCAGGAGCAAGAGGGAGACGTGCAGGAGGAACAAATATATCATCGACTGTTGGTGCATGTTGTAACTGTGACTCTGTGAGACTGGCACACCGTGCCTACCTATATCCCTCTGTGCCCACCGGCTACACATCACGAATTCACCGGTAATGTCCGGAGAGTTGACGCTGCACATATATATATATCAGAGGCAGTGCAGACGGACGACGTTATTTGGTGACGTCACCGTCGTCGCGTGGACGACAGAGTCGGCAGTGAATCCTACATAATAATGACCGATCGTTTTGTAGGCAACGCTGCGTGTGTTAAGCAGCGTGTGTTAAGATCATGCTGAAGACACATACAAACAGATATGTGAAGAGGAGATACGCGGAGAGATACGTGAAGAGATGGTGTTTCGTGGACACGTGCTCGCCGTACCAGCGATAATAACAGTTCTCATCAAGCCGTATATAGAGTCTTGATGCTTTCTAGCTAGTGACGCTATTTGTATTCCGGACGTCCGCTAGATGGCGCCACAGGTTCGAGGTATCATTACAGTTTTTTCTCGCTGCTGGTCGCGTGAAGCTCGCGCTGGCCACGTGATAGTTTAGTGGGAGTTTGATTGGCTGCTTGGTACGCGGTACGGTCCGCTACCGTAAGAATAACGGAGGTTGTAAAGTTTGCATAGAAGTAGGTATATCTTTACTTCGTGGCTAGGTGCATTTACGCCTGCATTATTTGTAGCATCTCACTGTGTATACTTGCTGTTAAGTTAACGAGTCATATAAAACACGTCTTTTTCTATATACCTGGACTGAACATTCACCTTAATAATAGTGGCATCGCTTGTATAGTATATATACACATACATATATATATATATATATATACATATATATTTAATATACATAGGCTGTAATTGTAATTAACTTGTAGATATAGACGAGTTGTGGATTTTGCATAGCACGGAGTCACTGCTGCCAACTCTTGCTTCGAAACAAAACAGCTTTATTGATATTCATCTCACTTGCTTAGCGGGTTGCGTTAGTGGATGTGTCTCAGAACACTGGTTAGTCGTGTGATAAAACCGATATAGATGTAGCGATGCGTGCGTGCAATAATTGCGCTTAATTCCCTCGGCTAGATTTCAAAACATGCTTCTCACACCTCACGCGTCGTGTGTTGTATTGCGGACACACACCCCTCATTGCGGGTGCTACTGATACGCATTATCACACAGATCTGCGAAAGCTTGATCACACCATAGATATATGCAAACTCAATGTGTTTGTATAATTCTATGATCACGCGGAAGCTCTGTGCATTATTATTTCTAGAGTCAGCTTTGTAACAATTCTGCGACATGTCTAGCGTACTGCAGCGATGCTTTCTCTTTCCCCGTTTCAATGCGACTATATTTACGATGATATTGCTTTAGTATATAGAGTTTAAATATAGTTCTCCAGATATCGATGCATGTAGTTTTTATTTAACGTACACGTGTAACGGTTCGAGTGGTGGTCTGTGTTAACGCGGGGAGTATGTACCCGAGATCCCACTAAACACCGACGCGGCACGATTCTACCGGGGTTCTTCTATCACATATCATAGTTTGATAGAAGGTTTCTGATTTCAGTGTGGGTCCCCCGTCATACGCACCGTCTAGTCGTTTTCATTTGTGTCGCAATCGCATCTGATGATATATATTGTATAGAGAATGAGATTTTTTTGTTTCGCGGTGTGATTCGGTCGCGCTTTATTTTATAGTTGTTCGCGTGTGTGCGACGGGAAGGAAGTGATGTGAGCGAAATGTGTGCGAGCTAGTTTGCAGCATGTGGGTCGATGCGACTGTCGGTGCAAAACCAAGGCATTCATACTCTGTTATGCTGTCTCAGTCTCTTTCTCACTTCTACTTGATGGTCAATATTTAAGTTATTATGTGGCAGCTTGTTTTGTAAATATGACATATTTCGTCGTTAGGTTGGACATTAAAATGTCTATATATTTGAGAGGATTAAGTTTTATCGTTAGTTTCCTCACTGGCAGCATGGAGCGAGTTTGGGATTGACGCTGGGAAAAGACCCATATCGCTGAACAAACCAAAAGCACATGATAGTCTTGGCTACAAGGCTCTGCTTGTGCGGCCATGTAAGTGGACAGTGTTTGCGTGGTTTTACTTTATTTTGAACAGCCTCGCGTGTACATGGTATTGATACGTACGTGTTGTGGTTTTTGTTTTTTGATGTTGTGACTTGCTGATTGCATCGCACACGGTCCGTGACGATGCAATTCTATATGCTGTATTTATTTATTCTTTCGGTTTTGGTGTTAGATTCGTTCGTTCTCGTGTGTGTTTACCTGTCTGAACATCGAACGTTAGTATGCTGGAACTTTTTTTCTGGTAAGGGTTAAAACGTCTATTCGCTGCTCATTTCGTTGATAAGGGTGCTTCTTCCGCGTTCATGGTGGACGTATTTATATTAGCAACAGTGTAAGCAGACCTCAGATATTCTTAATCGGTCGGTCGGTCGGTCGGTCGTCAGTGGTAGGTTTGTCAGTGGTCGCTAAAATGTTCAAGGCAGACATGCTAATTTTTTTTTATTGATGCCTGAATCCCGAATTTCCTTTTCGCTGCGGTAAATGCCGTGTTCTTGATGTTGTTGTTGTTGTTGTTGTTGTTGTTATTCGTGGGTTTCTTCCGACTACACACGCATTTTGTAACTGCTGGAGAGATTGCCATCCGGCAGTGTGTGTGTCGGGTGACATTCGTGCTGTGACTGCTGTCGTATAAACTTAGTTGCATCCTCATCACTATCTACAGGGGAGGTCCGTTTTTCCGAAATATCGTAAATGTCTATGACTATCGTAAGTCTAAAATGTCATCTAACTTTTGCGCGCGACGCTTCGCTTTAAAGGTAATGACATTTTCGACGAATGACGTCATAACTACTTTGAGAATGCAGTTTTTTTTAGAATGCGACCCTGGATATTATCAGCGCGTTTACGGCTTCATGTTATTTTGTTCACACGGTAATGTTCGCCGTGTGGTGTTCGCTCCGTCTGCCCGCTACGCCCCAGGTGCAACTAACGTAGAACGTGTATATATATATATATATATTCACGTATTCGATTTCTTAACTTACACACACATAGCCTGCTCTTGCTTTTGCTTCTGACCGCAGGATTTTTCTATTAATGGGCGATCGCTCGATGTTTTCGCGTAGGTATCTTGCGTCGTTTGTACGTGCGTGTATGACTAGTGGTTGGCCGACGGTACCCTGGCAAGCCAAGCTTAAAGGCTAGCCGCTTGCTTTTTTACAGTCTGAGAGCTTACGGAATGATACTATAGAATGCGATGCGAATACGGTAAAACTAGTCTCACTGGTTTTTGTTTTTTGTCATTGTTGTTGTTTGTTTGTTTTTTTGGTTAAGAGTTTTGTCGTGGTGATGAGATGCGATGATGACGATTGCTGCTTTTCCGCTTCAGTTCGTTTTTAGTCAATCGCGTCCGCTGAAGTCATCTGCGTCGGTGGTTTCGGATGCTTATTAATTATCCAACTCGTAAATGTGTGAGTGTTGGCACTGACTTCGTGGCCTTGGTTTTTAGGAATTGTTACACGACGATAATAATGTTTTGCACATTTTTAGCGGGAACGCACTTTCTTTATTCTCGCCGCCCTCCTATTCGTCGTCGTGCAAGGGTAGCTTAAGTGATGCGACGCGTGGTGGCGTCGCGTCTTGGTGTGTGCGCGTGAGAGAGAGAGAGAGAGCGAGAGAGCGAGAGAGAGAGAGAGAGAGAGAGAGAGAGAGAGACACGAGAGCGTAGAGAGAAGACGCGTGTCTTGAACTGGTAGCAAGAGAACGTGTCATTTTCTTCTTAAGTATCGATATGTTATACAGATACACTTGGCCGCCATGTTTTGTAAGCTGGCGATCTGCTGATTATCTTTTACTGGTTTGTAACAAGTATAATACATGACAGTTAGGTAAACTGAAATAAAATCCTTGCTGCGCAATCAAGCATGCGCGAGTCTGGGTCGCCGTGGAATCTTTTTTTTTTGCGCCGTATAGCATACTTTCAAGTCAGACGTATTATGCATACGATTTCACACGCTCGCAAGCACATATCACGTACGCAGGCACGCCACCGCACGCACCCACGCACGCACGCACGGCACCATCATGCTGCCACTACCACAGGCTAACTCTTGCACGCGATGCCAGCGGCCGTTGGTGGAAGTACTTGGTATGGACGTGACATTTAACTGTGGGTATCCAATCTCCCTCATGATCAACAACTTCATTTTTCGCTTGTTCGACTTCTGGCTGCTGTTCAATAAGGCAAAGTGATCCTGAACAGGAGGGTCACGAGGTCATAGTGTAATAAGCAAGACCTGTACCTTCAAAAGGCGTTCCTTGAGATTTTCCCGAAAATCGATGTTACCGGAGTTTCATTTCATAATATTTATTTGGGCGCGTCATTCGTTGGGCTTCAGGCGAAACGAACGAGCTGAACTATGAATCCATCGAGATGATGACGACTTCAAATT